GTGGTATATTTTGATGGAGAAAAAATAAATAGGACAAAATATCCTACTTAACTGTCATTGAAAGTGACACCTTTGGCCAGGCGCAGTGGCTCACGCCTGTAATCCCAGCACTTGGGGAGGCTGAGGTGGGCAGATTACCTGAGGCTGGGAGTTCGAGACCAGCCTGCCCAATGTAAGGAAACCCCATCTCTGCTAAAAATACAAAAATTAGGTATGGTGGCACATGCCTATAATCCTCACTACTCGAGAAGCTGAGGCAGGAGAATCGCTTGAATTGGGGAGACAGAGGTTGCAGTGAGCTGAGATGGTGCCATTGCACTCTAGTCTGGGCGACAAGAGTGAAACTCCGTCTCAAAAAAAAAAAATGACATCCTTATATCCTACTGAATATATAGTATATTCGGTACCCATATAATGTCAGGAATTATTACATATTTATATGTAATTATACTTTTCATGGCAAGTTGGTTCTTTCTAATCTGAAGTGCTATCACTATTTTTGTGTTAAAATTATATTTAATTTTTACATATCAAGGATTATCAAGAAAAATTTAAATTAACTGGCTTTTCTCAAATGCATACTATCTGTGTTTTATATATTCAGAATAAAATTAAATAATAGAAAGTGTCATAGCGATAGTTTCTTATGCTTTGCATAATTCTGGTCTTTACCTACAAGATTTTTTTTTTAAAAAGGCAAATACCAATTGAGTATATATCCACACAGAAATGAAATTGAACAATATATTTACTGTCTGTTCATTCATAAATTCACCTAACATTTATCAAGCCCCATGTTCCTTTTTTTTTTTTCTTTTTCTTTTTCTTTTTTAAGACCGTATCTCGCTCTGTCACCCAGGCTGGAGTACAGTGGTGTGAACCAGCGCGCTGCAACCTCTGCCTCCCGGGTTCAAGTGATTTTGCTGTCTTAGCCTCCTGAGTAGCTGGGGATTACAGGTGTCCACCACCACGCCCGACTATTTTTTGTAGTTGTTAGTAGAGACGAGGTTTCACCATGTTGGCCAGGCTTGTCTCAAACTCCTGACCTTAAATGATCCACCCGCTTTGGCCTCCCAAAGTGCTGGGATTACAGGCATGAGCTACCATGCCCAGCCTCAAACCCATGTTCTTTGTGTTGGAGGTGCTGTGTATATGGAGATGAATAAGTGATGCCTGCCCCTAGGAATTTTCAGCCTGGGAGTTTGTAGTAAAATACACCTTGCTAAACAACTGACCCTAAAGTTTTAAGAGTTTAATTTTGGGACAAACATGTTTAAATCCCGTAAAAACAAAATGTATCTTTTTTCATCACTGACCCTGGCAGCTTTTCAGAAACGATACTTACACACTGGTGAGTCCACCCTTGAACAATTTATTTAAATTATTAGGCTCATTGCTTTATTCTACCATCGGATGCCCAGATCATCCTTTCCCTACCAGGTTTCATCCTGTAAAAAATGTAGCTCTAAATTAACTCAAGATAAAAACTTTATTTTTCTCATTTTTATTTCCCTTCTTGTCCTTTTTGGCATGACCCAAAAGGCAGTAAGAATATAAATGCTTGTTCCACTTTTTTGAGAAAACAGAAAAGCTCCCATTCAGAGGTGCACCTGGTGTTGTCCGGTGAAGCTTCATGCAGAATGAGTGCAAGGCTAGAAGCGAACCACAGCCACACATGCAGCCGGGTGTGTGCTATTCACCGTGCCACTGTTAGAGCACACGGCAGACTGGAAATCAAGTCCTGCATAGCACTTGATTCTTTTTTTTTTTTTTTTTTTTTGCCACACACATATGCATACATACATGCATACACCCGTATATGTACACAAAACGAACAATTGCACAGCAACAGTTCCTACAATGCTCAGAATTAAAACTTCAAAAGATACAAAAAGTATGGTGAAAACTAAGTTTCTCTGCTACCTGCTCCTCCTACTCCCTGTATCCCTCCCCAGAGGCAAGAGTGGTTCCCGTTTTTTAGGTATCTTTCCAAAGAGATGCTGTCAAGACACCTTGCCAGCCTGTTCTCTCTTTTTCCAAAGCCAGACACTTTATTTCAGACAATTGTGTATTCTAAGTATCGTTATATATTAAATATTAAAAGCAAATGACAACACTGTGTACAGTAAGTTTCCATTTTGAAAATAATAATACATTAGAAGAGAAACGTAATATAAACCAGAATGGTAAACGATGCCTAGGTTGGGGTGTGGGGTGCACTTCCTTGGTAGCCACAGCAGTTTAATATGTGAACTTGTGAAAATAAGAGCATGTAATCTTTTCATAATAAAGAAGTTGTTTTAACGAAAACAAATTCACAAGCAGTCCTCTGAATATATAAATGTGTACCCATGTGTGAAGAGTTTGAGTTTCTTTAGACTTCAGGCACAACTGGTTGCCTTCTAAGGCCCTAGTGAGTCATTATCTGTCCTTACTTTGAAGTAATGATAACAAGTTGAACTGAAAGTAAATTCTTAGATGTGAATAGTTTTTATTCAGATCTTGGATCCTGCGCAAGTAAGTTAACCAAAAACCGGATAGGGAACAGCAAACTTGGTGTTAAATCCTGCACATTATGAGTCCAAAATCCTGCTAGTGAATGCATATTATTATTTTCTCTCATACTATTATTTTCAGTGTAACCCAAGAAGCACACCCATTTAACATACTCACAGTTCTTAACTAGTAATATTTTTCATCCTAACTAGTTCAGGCTCCTGGTTTCTAAATAGGAAAAAATCACACAAAATATGTATACTGGCTAAGAATGCACTCAGCATGTGGCATTTTTCAAGAGCAACTTGATAGAATATTCACAGTTAATTTTAAATTTAAGTACTCATTAATTGAGTGATCCTATTTCTCTGAATGTATCTTCTGGTAGCAGTCAGATGTTATATACTGGGATGTTTAACCTGGTAAATTTTGTTTCTAACATTATTTGCAAATATAACAAACATGAAGAGAAACTCAGTGTCCAAAATAGAAGGACGTTGAATAAATTTTGCCATGTAACTAGAGTTAGGATGGTATGTGATGAACTATTACCCATCAGTAAATAAGGTTCTTGAAGATCAGTTGAGAACATGAGAAAGTATTTTAAAAATTATGTTATATCTAAAAGAATGTTGTAAATATTAATATCTTTCTTACCTTATCAAGTACGTATTTGAAGGTATTTTTTTTCTTGGGGGGGGTCAGGATTTTCCAAGGTTTCTACAACAACTATGTATTACTCTTATAAAGTTCTAAGAATAGTTTAAATAATCTTAATAAAATTGCCAAAGAAAATAATTACCAAGTTTGGGATATTTTTCTTTTCTTTTTAAGCTGTGGATGAGAAGTTTTATTTTTATATGATTTTCTTCCCTCTTGGAATATCTGAAAATGCTACTTTTGAAGTACTCTTTTATTTCTAATACTGTTAGCAAGTTTTAAAAATTCTATTTTTGCATAGTACCGATTTTATTCATTCACACAGCTGAAGGTGAACACAAATAGGTAGTAATTCTTTCCTTGAGTCCAAATGCAGTTTTACCCTCCTAACTGCTTAGAGAATATCCTTTTATGGTTTGGCTTTATAAATATCACTGTAACTACTTGAGCTCCCTTGTTTTAATCCTTTCTTGTATGAGGGGCACTTTTCTGTATTTTTATAAGTTATTTTTCTATCTTTTTGTTTGTTTGGTTTTTGTTTTAAGACCTATTTTCTATGTTAGGGCAAAATAGCTTGTCATTATCTTTAAATTATATTAGATTCCCAGCAAAATCATTCAGAAGTCACAGGAAGCCCTTATGATCATTGATCAGGTGTAGTTCTGTGTGTCTGTGTGTCTGTTTTTTATTCTCTTTAGTGTGTTCATAATACACTTACTGTGGATTGCACAAGTGACATTTGTGTACATATGCTCCATGAATGTGAATTGATAGAATACATGAATATACATCCTGATGGCAACATGGAATGAAATACAGGCCTCGTGTGTGTGTGTGTGTGTGTGTGTGTGTGTGATATCAACGTTGACTGTGCTTGAAGTTCAAAGTCAGGCAGAGGCAGTTGAGTAAGTTGTAAAATAGCCCTTCTCGGGAAGGGTGTGCACTTGAGTACGAAACAGAACTCTCAGTGTTAGTTTTACATTTCTGTTTGATGGAATGTAAGGTTATGGAAACAACTGTAAAAATAATTTTTCTGAAAGAAGTCTGGTTGCAGAAATATAATAGAGAAAATATTTGAGAATATGGTTCATCGGCGAGTGCAACAGATACTCTTCCCCGAGCACCACATGGTATGGATCAAAGCATCCCATGACTTGGATCCGTGTGGCCAAATCATTACGTATTGATTGGAACCCCACTGGAGGATTAACCCCTTCATGTTCATGCAAATTTTCGCTCACTCTTGGTGTTAGGAATTTTAGGAGTATAATCTTCTTTGCCATTATTAGCTTTTTTTTTTTTTAAGCTAATCATCTGCTTGGATATATTTATCTTTCTAAATTATTTTTGTATTATTCTAAATTATTTAATTGTACTCTGCTGGATAAAATTAACTTGGGAAAAAATATGTGATTATATGAAAGCAGTTTCTAGGGGAAGGAAAGAGGAAAAAATGGATAATATTCCTTGTAGATACAGCATGAGAATCTCAAAATCAAGTACAGATTTTATAATTATCATTATGTAGATGAAGTAAGTTCTAGCTTTTTAAAGACTCCTTCGCAGTCTGAGTAAAGAGCTTTGCATCTAACAAAAGCCCGTCAAACACTTTTTCATACATAGATGTACATTTCTAACATTTGACAAAACATATTTAGGTACACTTTAACTCTTGCTTTTAGCAAACAATGCAGAATTAGTCAATTACATGGGATGGGGAAAATCACAAATTTGTCTTGTCCACATTTGGCCATGTGGGCTCCTCCTACCTTTTATATCCTCGTCTGGTGGAATGGTTCTTGGCAGCAAATTCATTTTCTGGTCTTCTGTGTGTTTTCTTTCAGTATGTCCCATGAGGAGCACCCCCATAGCCATCCTCTCTATGGACATGGTGTGTGCAAGTGGCCAGGCTGTGAAGCAGTGTGCGAAGATTTCCAATCATTTCTAAAGTAAGAATGATTTTATTTTTTTCTTCTTTTACATGCCATCACCTCCCACAAATGCTTTTGCTCATAAAATGCCTTTTTGATGAAGAGTTTCACTTCACCCTTTTGCGAGTGGACTCTAAATCATAAGGTCCAGTACACTGTCATAGGAATAGTTACAAAATCTATTGAGGGTTGTACTACAGTTGGAAAAAGACTTAGATCTAAAGGCATAAGTCTCAGTAAGAGCCTGTGTTTACCCATTTTTCAGAGTGACAAGCATTTAAAAAAAAAAAAAGATCCCAGTATTAAACTTGCAGTTATTTAGCTTTTACTTTTATTCATATCCTTACATAAATCAATAACATGCACTATATTTTTATAAAATTGGCGTCAATTACTGGCCAATTGCATCTTTGTGATTGGGCCCATTCCTTTTTATACAATTGACTTTATAAATGTAGAAAGTGGATGCCAAGGAAAGCTACCAATTTGATTCTTAACTTCCTATATTGGTATTAACTTTAGTTCAGATTCTTGTCCTTATAGGGAGAGTGGCCTAACTTTAATTTGAAGCTATAACACCGATAAAGCATCTCCGTAAGGAAATACATTAATCTCATAGATGAAGTGAAATGCTTCTGTGCTATCCCTTGTGTTACCTTGTAAGTTAAAAAAGAAATTAGACCAAACTGCCCTGCATTTTTGTATCATATAAATATATTCATAATATCATTGAATCATTAACCTATGAATTGAATATAATGTTCCATATTATAGACATTGTTTGATAATCAAACATATGCACATGTATAACTATAACATATATGCCCATGTGTACATCTGGGCCTGTGATGGTTTACAAATTGGGTGTTGGGGACCATTTCCTTCTAGCTTCTCTCTCTCATTCAAGCCCCAGGGAAACAGGGGTGAGCTGATTTATGTGCAGGTCTCCAGTTTTGTGTGGTCTTTATATTGTTAGAACAATCTCTGTGTCTATCTTTATGGACCTGGATACAAATATTGTAATAAAGCCATCCTTAGAGAGAGATCCAGTGTTACCTGCAAGCAGTTTTGGTGAATATAATTTTTTGATTAATGAATGTGGAAGCCTGTGAATCTATTTTATAGCTTCCTTGCCTCAGTATTATACGAGAGCATTATGTGATCATTGAAAACTTAAGTATGTACAGATATTTTAAAAGAGATGTCCAGAATTGCTTCTAAATACCAACAACCAGAGCAGCAATGCTTTTAAATTAAGCAACAACCCTTTACAATTATTATTATTCAGATTAGTGATAATTGGGCTTTGTTTTGTTTAGAAATCACTCACTATAGAATTTTTGTTCTTTCCTGATCATTTGCTCAATCATATTTATATAATGAGAAAAAAGAACTTGGCAGAAGCCACTTGTAAATTTCTGATTTTTTACTTCTACATCAGTTCTAGGTTTGATAAATATCTTGGTACTGATTTCCTCCATCTGTAGAATGGCTGATAAATAAACACCTGTAAATATGATTTATTGTCATAAAGTCTCCAGAACTATAAAATTGCTAGCCCAGGGACAGGTATCAGTTTTAGAGTCAGAAAGGGAAATGACAGTTTCTAGACTCATTTAAAAAATTTTTTTGATGGCTAAAGTATTTCTACCCTAAAAAAATCCTCAAATTATAGGTTCATTTGTTATGTGAGCTGATAATTAGGTTATATTATTAGGAGATTATCCCGAAAAGGAGAGAGAACGATTTCAGTATTAAAGAAAATAAAGATCATCAGAATTGGGGCCTAGGCTCAATTCCTGTAAGAAAGCCCATTTCTCTTCTAAAGATATTAGGAATCTGGCACTTGTATAGGAAACCACCTATCAATTATTTATTAATGGTTTTGCACATGACACAGCATGTTCTCAGTTCCTGTTTGCTCAGTGGAATTGGAATGCCCACTATCAGCCTGCAACTATTGCTTAGTTATTTCCTGATACTTACTTATTGACTTATATTTGTAAGACGACTTTTATTTGTAAGTGATAGAAACCCAACTTAAATTGGCTTAAGTGAAAAAAAAAAGTAAGTGGGGGATAATTGGCCCCTGTAGCTAGGAAGTCCAGTGGTACAGCCGGCTTCAAGCATGGCTGGATCCTGATATTTAACCAAGGTCGTTGGAATATTGATTGTCCGTTAGCTCTGTTTTTCTGTGTTGCCTTCCTTTGGGAGCCCTTTCCAATTGGAACTGAAGAGGACAGGTTTATCAGTCCCACAGTGCGCCTCTTTCCCTGTAGTTCCAGAAAAAGCCCTAAACAGACTGTCATTGACCCAGATTGACTTACGTATTCTAGCTTTCAGCCAATGACCTGCCCAGGCTTGCATCACAGGCCGCCTCTAGAACAGAGGGAGATGTTCACCCCACATGAACCACGTGGGGACTAGAGATGAGAGTTGGTTCAAGAATATAAAAATGAATATTATAAAGTAGCAAAGGGAGAGCAAATGCTGAATAAGAAGAAACTGCCCTAGATGTTTTCCCAAGTTACACATTGACTGGTTATATGTGACAAATTCAGGATTTCAGTTTTCCTCTACAACATGATTTTAACTCTTGGAAATTCAGAGTTGTCTTCAGGTATCGGGATCTTGCCTAGCACAGTGGAAAATAAATTAGTCTTCTTGTAGATTCACATCTCCCACTTCAGTCTAAGGAGAAATCAAATTGGCTTTGATGAAACCAACTTTGTTTTCCATTGAACTGAACTGAACTGAAAGAAGCTAGCAAACTTCTTGTGGTTCAAATAAAAACCACCTGGCTTCTTTGAATGATGTCACTGGGGGGTCATTGTCATCAGAGTGTGATGCATCAAGTACTTTTCTCAGATTGCTGGATTCGTAGATCCTGAAAACATCCTCAGTTGTTTCAGTGGACCAAAAGCTTTCTAGTCTACGCTTCTCTTCAATTATCCCCCTCTTTTTAGAAAGGATTTCTTACTGTTTAGGAAAATTGATAGCAGTGTTGCTTGGATTCTCCTTAGTATTTTTACTCAATAAAAGGTAGCATTGCTTTGACTTTGATTTCAGTGCTACTTCATAGAGTTGTTTTTTCCACCTATTTTCTATTCCCTCCCTAGTAATAGTTTATTATTAAATAGCACTGAACCTTAAAACAGATATAATCCCAAAGTGCTTCACATATATTAACTCATTTAATCCTCACAACCAGTGTATGCTAATATTGTAGTACTATTACCAGCATACCATTAAGGAAACTAAAGCCCAGAGAGGTTAAGTGATGTACCCAAGGTCACACAGCTAATAAGAGATGCAGCCGAGGTCCAAACCCAGGCATTCTGGCTTCAGAGGACTTACTCTTAATTACTGCATGATACTGCCTGGTTAGAGGTAGTACTTTTAACAGTTTGCTTTCTCCTTGGCAGTGGATGTAAAGAAAGTTTTGGAGAAAGGCTGGTGGGGTAGCGAAGACACTGTTAAGATGTTCTTTGAACTAGCCGTGTATCATCTGAGCCTCAGTATCAGCACATGTGATTTGGGATGGTAACCACTTTTTAGGGTTGTTAGGAATAAAAGGTGCGCCAAGCCACAATGGCTCACCCCTGAATGCATTGGGATGCTAAGGTGGGAGGATTTCTTGAGGCCAAGAGTTTGAGAGCAGCCTGGTCAACATAGCAAGACCCTGTCTCTACAAAAATTTAAAAAATATAGCTGGGCGTGGTGGTGTGTGCCCATAGTCTTCAGTACTTGGTAAGCTAAGGTGGGAGGCTCGGTTGAGACCACAGTGAGCTATGATCATGCCAGCGTACTGCAGCTTGGGTGACACAGCAAGACCCTATCTCTAAAAGATAAATGAAGGAATGAATGAAGAAAAGGTACATCGTATAAACTGCCTAGCCCATACTAGGCACTATTTAAAAGCATTACAAATTCTTAATCTACTTAGATATATTTAATTTTTAGGACGGGTAATCTTAAATGTCCCCAAATTTCTTACCTTCTACCTAGGAAAAGGAGTAACTACACAAAGCATGGATATATCCAAAGAAATTGTTCTGTAATAGAACATTTTAAGCATAAACCTCTGCTAAAAAGTCCCATACAGAGGGGAGGACATGGCACTTTTTTTTTTCCATAAAGGGGTGGGCATAAATATTTTCAGCACTGCAGGCCATACAGTCTCTGTGACAGCCACTCAACTCTGCTCTGCCATTGTGGTGCAAAAGTAGCCATTGATCATGTGTAAGGAAGAAGTATGGCTGTGTCTCTTGGACAACAGTTTGCTGGAACATTTTTGGTGTCACCAATGTGTCTTTAGCTGAGGAACGCTTTTGTGGCTCCAGACATAGCTATCCAGGGTTATGTTAGCTCGGATTCACAGAACCCTTGAGTTAGTCATATTTTGGGGGAAATACCCATGTGTGTCATGCCCCATGACTTCATTGACCAACCATGGTTTTTATGCTTCCTAGATCTTGGGTTCTTCCACCCAGTTTCTAGTGTTCATACTTGGGGAGAGGAAATGACTTTGCCAGGTAACAGCTTTCTACTCTTCCTCAGCTCCAGATTAATAAGCTGTAACTGTTACAGAGGCCAAGCTTGGTTCTTCAGGATAAAAATCTCATCTGTCAATACTGTGCCACTGTTAATAGAGAGAGGGGTTCACGGAACAGGGCCTGGGGGGAGGGGGGACTCACAGGTCTAAACCTGAAGCCTATTTTTCTCCCTCCTGGGGAAGAAATACCATAACTGTTGGTAAATCAAAACCAGAGATTTGACACTTTTCTGTGATCATTCTGCAGCGTTTGTTCCCAAGGTGAGGTATACCACAGGGCCCTTGATTTCAAAGATAAATACTGTACAAATAACCATCCTGTTGTCTTTCCCTCACCGCCAACAGAGGGACACTTTATCAGAAACAGCAGATACCCTGTCTATTGTACGCATTTATTTTTCTGTTTCTTCTGAAAACAACTTGCAGTTCTAGTGTTGATTTTTTTTTTTAATCTATCAACCAT